CCCCAAAACCCCAAAACCCCAAAACCCCAAAACCCCAAATGATAAGAATACAATTGAAATATTAAAAATCGATTCAGCAATCATGGATTTGTAAGTAAAAACCTATTTTCTGAATAAAATACAACGATTTAACTGCTACATTAAAACCAGCGACCAATAAACACCCTAAACTCTACCACTCAAAACTTTAGTCAGCTCATTAGTTGGCCTGGCTTAAAGAATAAGGGAAGATTTTAGAACAGATAAATTGGAATTTTTAATAGGACAAGAAAATAAATTGGAATAACATGATAAAACCTAATTTTTTATGATAATTTTTCATTCCCATCTCTCTAAAGCAATAAAAACCCCTCTATAATTCATAAAAATGTCCTTTGTAGATTCTAAAATGTCTTAAAACTCATAAAGCTTTAGATTAAATCTAATCTTCTTGCCTGAAACATCAAGTTTTTACGTTTTTAAAAAGTTAATTTCCTAAGAAACCTCTGAAGATAATTAAGAGTACTCGAAATAACTCAAACATAGATATAGCAGACGAAGTATGAAAAATCAGCCAGAAAATATGTTCAGCCCTCAATTCAAGGAAGAAGAGAAGCAGCAAAATTGTATGCAAGAGAGAGGATACCTCCCGGGAGAATCTATGCAAGAACGAGGAGAGCAGAGGGATAAGGTTATTGGATCACCTACTAAAACTATCTTTAAAAAGAAGAACTTCAGAGAGCTTTCAGTTACTGATATCATGCCCAGTCTCAAAGCAAGACTAACTGAAAAACAAGTAGCTTCTGTGATGCCTAAAAACTCAATGGGATTTATTGGTTTCTCCAAACAATTTTCACACTTCATCATCTGCCCTGTTTTCTTAAATTATATTGAAGTGTCTGATTACCTTGAGATCAGGAAGGGATGAAGGTACCTTTGGGATTGCTATGATTATCACATTCTCGAAGAGCTAGTAAAAATGAATAACTTAGATCCCTATTTGAGAACAAACCTTTGGCTTTCAGTAACACCATATCACATAAACCAGAGTAAATCAAGAGAGATGGTAAAAGCTATTGAAGAAGAAAACACCTCCAAACTTGAAGATATGACCAATCCTGAGCTTAAAGCCCTCTACCTCACCCAAAGTAATTTAGACTGCTGCTCTGTATTTGACAACGTGTACACAAAGCTTCTTTGAAAATCGAAATCTTTGGAATGCCTTGTCCGTAAGGTTACATCAGAAGTGGATAAATTCAAAATTCAAAAATCTACCAGTAATCTATACGAAGATGAAGATTTTGATGTATTAAATAACCTCTCCTTATGCCATAACATCTTACTCCCTGAGCACTCCAATGATACATTAGAGTACCTCGATGCACTGTTCCAAGGCAGTAGAGACGAGGAAATAGCATTCTGGATATCCCTCTGTATTTCTGAGAGCAAAGCGTACCAACGAAAATCACAGCTTAAGAAAATGGTTGATATCAGAACTCTTGAGCTATTTGCTGAAAAATATTGTCCACTTCTACATAAATTACTGAGCGACACCAAAGAATGGGACATAATATGTACCAATTTTGTTAACAATTTTGGATGCAAATTTTTGGAATATCCCGAAAGCCTCTCCATTATCGACAGTTTCCTAGTTTCCGGCATTAAAGGATTCTTTGAACGAATTATCATTATTTTTAAAAGTAAGAAATTTAGACTTTTGTCTAATAATTTTGTTGTGATCCCTTATATTTTGTATAGATCTTGAAGAATTCATTCAAAACTGAATTGAAGAGGAAGCTGAAATGGAATCATCTATCTACTCACCTCCTCAGAAGAGTACTAAATAAGGGAGGATTTTCTGAGATATTTTACAGTGAAAGCTACAGAAATATGCCTGGTCAAAGTTATGTGACCCCAAGAAGTAAGTGGTACTCTCTATTAATTATTAACTTTATTTTAGAAACCACAAGACGTTCAGTTAGAGAGTTCTTGAGCCACTATTCAGCATCAGACCTCTCATTCCAATTGGTAGTAGACTGAGTAGGGTCGTTCCAAAATTGATACAACATAAAGTTGACTGAAAACGAGCTTAAGGAAACTCAAAAGCAAGCTCTCAAAAGAGTCATCGAAGAGGCTTCCTTTTCAATAAACAATAAAATCTTTGAAAAAGAGAATTTTTCAGATATCAAAATCAAGCTTAAGCTCCTCAACGAGAAGAAAGAGAAGGACTTGCAAGCTATTCTTATTAAGAAAGGAAAGCTAAATGCTTATTATGAAACCCAGAATCAGGAGTTCATGAAAGTTGAAGGTAAGTTTCTACCCGAATTTCTCACCAAATTTATAACTAATGCTTCTAGATGCTTATCATGAAGCCCAGGAAGCTGTAGACCATATGAAAAAGAAGGTAGATATTTTGAGGGATACCCAAATTTTGATAACTAAGGAAATTTGGAGAAAAAAGCAGCTTATAAAGATCGCGTCAACAAATAAAACATTTCATACATCGTTTAAAAAGAGTAGAGTTCCTCGTAGCAGAAATAAGCATAAGGACACACCAAATATAATTAGATATGCTTCCTACACTAGAGATGACTGTCCTGACCCAAGCTTCATGTACTCTTCTGAAACACCAACAAATCCTAACTCCTCATTCACTTCCTCCAACAGAGGAGTTTCCTTCCCACCAGGGTTTTTCAAAAACACCTTACGAGAAGAGGTAATAGAACTAGAAAAACTGCAGGAAGACGTTGACGAAATCGAAGAAAAAATCTACTACGAAAAAGAGTGTTTAGAACACTACTCTTCCCACTACGCTCAAACCAGAGATCAGTACTTGGACAAGAGAGCTTCTCTAGAAGACCTCATGGACTTCAGGAACTGAATTATAGCACAAGAGAAGTTTATACTAGAGAGTTATGCTTCTGATAAGGACAAGCTGCTTGATGGATGTCTTCTGCTTGTGTAGTACATAATAAATATGGTTTTTATACTAAAATTTTCAATTTATTAGTTTACAAAAGGGGTTTTGGGGTTTTGGGGTTTTGGGGTTTTGGGG